TGTGCAGGGAGTCCTGATTCCGGGACTCGGGGTCTTTGCTGGGGTCCGAGAGCAATTCCACAGCAAAGAAGAGGCGCTTTTGGTTCTAAGGCCTGTTTTCCAGCTGGACATCGGGGTGCTGTGGCTGCAGGAACTCCAGTCTCCCAACGACATCATCCCTGGTGAGAAGGCAGCAGCCACCTTCCCCTTCCCGCCCCACGTCCGGCCGGCTGTGTTCTCCCTGCTCTTTGGAAACGGCCGGGAGCAGCAGAGAAGTGTCTGCAAAGCTCGGGGTGCAGCGCGAGTTCCTCCAGGAGGAACCGCAGCCCAAGAGCTGTTTCTCCAAAGCACCTTTTCTGTGGGATTTGGTTATGAATGCTGCATGGGCTGGCTGTGGCAGTGAGGATGTGCCTTCTCCTTGCAGACGACGTCAAGATTGAGCCGCTCAACTACCGGCAGCTCTCGCGAGCCTCCGGCGTCCCGCTGCACTTGGTGCCGCGCTGCGTGCGGGAGAGCGTGCTCCTGTACTGTCACCTCCTGAGGAGCAGGGAGCCCGTCTCGTTTGTGTTCAAGAACCTCGGCGTTATGACCTGCCAAGACGGCTTCCTCCTCATGAGGTTCTTCTGCAGCTGCATTGAAACGCTGGAGAGCAATGCCCCCGTCCTCGCACTGATCCACACCGTAAGTTGAGGAGGTTGTGAGGTGCGCCGTCGGATCACCGCTGGCCAGCCTGGACGTGGCAGACCAGTCCAGTGCCTTTCCCCACGCTTGCCCCCACGGCTTTCTCCACTGGCAAAGAGATTTCCCGGATCTCTGCCCATGCAGAAAGCCTGGCAGTGCTCTTGCACGGCCTCGCTATTTTGCCATCCTGCTCCTTCAGAGCAGAACAAAGCTCTGATGTTCACGGAGGAGGCTTTGGTGGAGAGCAGCTTTCTCTTGGCATGGGAGCCAGGCTTGCTTCCTGTCAACAAGAGCCATGAAAACATGTCCTTGGCAAGCCTCCAGCAGGTCTGTGTCCCTTTGCAGAGATTCTGGACGGACGATTCTGCTGACTTCGGGCCAGAGACCGCTGCCCATGGCATCCGCGTGTTCCCGAGGTGAGTGCATTTCCTCTGCAGCACTTAGCTGGCCAGCAGACAGGCTTCCTTCCACCTCCTCCTTTGGGTCGTGCCCTGCTGGGTCTCCGTGCTCAGCCTCCAGTCGGGGAGAAATGCTGGAAAGTCTGGCTCCTGGTTCTCCACTGCTGCCTTTTGGCTTTTTGGAGAATCAGGGTTGTGTTTCTGGTGACCAAGCTGTCCCGATTTCCCTCAGAGAGAACGGACTGCACGTGCAGAGGAATTTGGGCTACGTGTGCTGGTTTGGCATGGCCAGGAAGGAAAAGGGTGCCACGCTCTGCAGAGCACAGGGATAAATACCACCAACCAGCTGCGTGGGGCAGGAGGTCATCCTTCTTCAAGGGTTGTCACTCTCTGTTTCCAGGTTTCAGCTCACCGTGGAAAAGAGCAGAGCAGAGGCCGCCGCAGAAAAAAAAGCTGCCATACAGCGGAAGATGAGCAAAGGTGAGGAGCGGGTCCCAGCTGTAGGGAGGGGGGTCCTGTCCCGTGCCGGGTGACCGGATCCAGGTTCACGTGCCGTGCCCGTGGGGCTGCTCTGAAGAACTTCTTTCTCTCTTGGTTCCAGGGGTCTCTGCCGGCAGGCTGCTGCAGAGGCGGAAGACACTTCCCCCCTCCATGCTGCTGCAGCGCAAGCCAAGTTCAAGGCAGCAAGATGTGGCGAAGGAGCCTTCTGGCAGGTGAGGGCCTTGGGCGAAAAGAAGGAGATGCGTGCGCTCGTGTAGGAGCGGCCTCCCCTTTGGAGCTGCCAGCTCTCGGCACCCACAAAGGCTCCTGACACACGTGTGTTCCGGGGGGGCCGTTCTTTCCAGGGCGGCAAGCGCGCAGCACGATCGCCTGAGGCAGACACACCAGCTTTGTTCTACTCTGGTCCCCGGTCCCTGGGGGAGCTGAGTGCCGATCCCTACCGATAGCAGAAGCTCTTCTCCCTTCAGGGGTCTCTCTGCTCTGCACCGGAGCCCATCTTGATGGCTGTGGGAGCACGGGGGAAATTGAGGTGCCCCGGGCTCCTGCAGACTCCTCTTGTGTCTGTTTGCAGTGCGCTCCCTCCATGTGCAGGCAGCTCCCGTGGGACAAAGAAAGTGGGACAGAAGGAAACATCTGCTGCCCAGACCAGCGCTGCACTCCCTGCCACCGAGGAGTCTAAGAGAGTGCTGCAGGTACCGGCTCTGCCTTGCTGCAGGGACTGTGCTGCTTGAGACTGTACCAATGATAGGATGGTAGAATCCTAGGAAAGTTTGGGTAGGGAGGGGCCATTCAGACCGCCTGGTTCCAATCCCCTGCTGCAGGCAGGGACACCTGTCTCTAGACTGGGTTGCTCTAAGCCCGACCAGCCTGGCCTTGAGTGCTTCTGCAGGGAGGGAAGCAAAAGCCTCTGTGTGTGCAGTGATCTGGAGCACAGCCCTTCGGGTGCCACCGTTTCACATTTCTGTCCGCTCCTTCAGCTCCTCTTTGGTAGATGGAGGGTGCTGCACACTTTCCCCGTCTCTTCTCGCCTCCTGGCCTGCCACCTGCCACAGCACTGATTTTGAGCAGGGGCCGTGAGAGAGGAATACGGCCTCTGAGCCACGTTGGCCATGAGTTGTGGATCCCGGCCTGCCTTTGGGGCCCCTGGTCCTTCAGGGGCAAAGCAGTGCCGACAGGCCGGCAGAGGAGAGGAGCAGGAGTGGGGAGCTGAAGGAAGGCCCCAGGGGCAGAGGCTGATCCTGTATGCTGCTGTGTCTCTGCAGGAGCTCCGCAAAGAGTCTGCCCTGTGGAAAGAAGCAGACCACACGTGGCCCATGCACCAACAGCAAATAGAGCGAGCACAGGCAGAAATGGCGGCATGGGAAGGCTGGAGCGCAGGGGAGGACCAGCATCCGCCCCAGGTACCGTCAGGGATCGACCCTGCTGGCAACAGCCGCTGAGCCAGGGTGCGAGCTCAGCAGGGCGCAGGGGGTGGGAGCGGGACAGGCGCCGCGCAGCATGGCAGGGGCTGGCCCGCTCCTCCCGGGAGGAGAGCTTGGCACGGCCCCGCAGGGAGAAGGGAAGGGCGGCAGGAGCCATGGGCCGGCAGGGCCGAGTCTCCTGCTTGCCAGGGCCTGCTGCAGGGCCCTTGGCAGAGGGCCTCTGGGGAACAGCCCCGTGCTCCCAGCTGCTTTGCTGACAGCGTCTCCTCTTTGGCAGCTGCTGGCCAGGGAGAGAGTGCGTGTTCCGCATCCTCCAGCCCAGCCAAGGAGACAGCAAGTGGGAAGGAGATGGAGGAAGGACGAGGGTCTGCTGCCGGGAAGTATAATGGGGACGGCGACCAAGCTGACACTGCATGCTGAGTGAGTGTGTGTGGGCTCTGCCGGCTGCCTGAGGCTCTCGGGCAGCTGTGACTGCAGCTCAGGGACAGGCACGGCCCGGGCCAAAACCTGCTGGCGGGGCGCAAGGCTGGGGACACGCGGGGGGCAGCAGGGGGTGCGGGGCCGGGTGAGGGCAGAGGCAGGGGCGGCTCAGCGGAGCCCGAGGGATGACTTTCTCCTCCTGTTGCAGCCTCCTTTCCCCGCGAGCGGCTCAGGTGCTCCGAAGGTTGGAGCCGCACCTCCGTCAGCAAGAGGCTTTTGCCGGCACAGCGGAAAGAAACCGGCAGAAGCTGGAGCAGAAGCGGCACCTCCTCCGGTGAGCTCCGTAGGCAGCAGATCCCGAGAGCCGGGCTGCAGCCCAGCCTGCACCACTTGCCTGCGCTCAGCCCTAACGCTCCGTGCTCTTCTCGCCTCCCTAGGGCTGAATGCTCGCACGGCTCCAGAGGGGAAGGTGCAGCCATCGGTGGTGACCGCGGTGGAGCTCTCGGCACGGGGGCTGGGAAGCCGTCCAGATTTCCACCTGTGAATGGAAGATCGTAGAAAACCAAAGACTCGTAGAACGGCCTGGGTTGAAAAGGGTCTCGAAGATCACCGCCACCGGGCTGCCCAGAGCCACATCCAGCCTGCCCTCGGATGCCCGCAGGGATGGGGCGTCCCCCAGCTCTCGGCAAGCTGTTCCAGCACGTCACCACCCTCCATGTGAAGAACGCCTGCTGACATCTAACCAAATTCTGCCCCCCTTTCACAGTTTAAAACCATTCCCCCTTGTCCTGTCACCATCCGGCCTCGTCAACGGCCGGTCCCCCTCTACTCTACAGCCTCCCTTCAAGAACTGGAAGGCCGCAGTGAGGTCTCCCCGGAGCCTTCTCCTCACCAAGCTAAACAAGCCTGGTTCCCTCCACCTTTCTCAACAGGAGAGGTGCTCCAGGCCTCTGATCACCTTAGGGGCCCTCCTCTGCACTTCATCCAAGAGCTCTGCGTCTTTCTTGTACCGGGGACCTCAGTTTTGGATGCAGTATTCCCAATAAAAATGAATTGGCTTTATTTCCACTCAGTCTGCTGATGTCGTGTCTGTCGCCATCAACTGACGCGAGGAAGCTGGAGCCGTTTGGGTGGTTTGAGAGAGCAGTTTGGGTGGCAAGGAGAGCCGCTGCCAAGGCCCGGCAGGACCATGCTCTGCAAGAGCGGGTGCCCAGGACAGCAGCCATCTCTGCCGGCCGTGCACGTTTCCTGTGCACAAGTCATGCGTCCCCTCGTATCCCCATCGCTCCCTTCCCGCAACAGAAATAGAAACGCTGTGGCAGAATTCTCTTGCGCCCAGCACCCAGACTCCGCTGAGCTGAATTCAGCCCGTGTGACACGAGAAAGGTTCTCGTGCCAGGGAAGGGAAGGGAAGGGGACGGGGGGGAGATGGTGTAATGGAAGAGAAGGGAAAGGGGGGAGGACAGCACGAGGGAACGAAAGGGGACCGGGGGGAAACACCGCAAGGGAGGGGAAGGGAAGGAAAGCGGGGGGAGACGCTGCAAGGTAACGGAAGGGGACGGGGAGCTGAAGGGAAGGGGAGCGAGAAGAGACAGAGCCGGCGGCTTCGGCGCTGACCAATGAGGGAGGCCGGGGGCGGGGCGGCGCCGGCGCTGACCAATGAGAGGCCGGGACGGGCCGCCGCTGTCGCCCCGGGCCGATGGCAGCCGGCACAGCCTGCGTGCCGCCGCTCCCCGCGGCTGAAGCGGCCGCTTCCGAAGCCGGGGCGCCGCGGGAGCCCGGAACGGACTCGGAGGGGCGGGATGCGCACAGCGTCTCTGGGCAGCCCGTGCCAGCAGCTCACCAGCTTCTAAGGGAGAACTTGGAGCTGTGCGTGCGCCTGTGACCGCGCCGGGTGTTGTTTACGAAGCAGACGGGAAGCAGCTGCTCTTACTGAGCCATTACAGTCAGGCTTTAGCGCGTTCTTTCATAAAACAGCTCAGTACGGCCGGATGGCGGCTCGACGTGGCAGCCGGTGGCCAACCCCCGCTCCAACCCGCCTGATCTGCCCGGTTTTTTTCCTTTTCTGTCTCCATTCATTCGCTCTTTATTTCCTTATTTCTTTCTCTCTGTCTCTCCTTCCCTCCCTCCGTCTTTCTTTCCTACTTTTTCTGGGTTTCCACCCCGCTTCCCTCCCTGCCCCCTTACTTTCGAACGCGGCCGTCCGACGTGCGTGCGATCGGTCCTTTGCTCAGTCGTCGTCTGCATCTTCTTCCTTGAGGGATGTCGGCACAGAGAGCCGCGGGATTTTGGTTTCCGTTTCCTTTCTTTTCCCGACTTTCCTTTCTTTGATCGCAGCTCGCACCCGTCCTCCTCCCACCACCCGACTCCCGGGAGCCCGGACCCCATGGCTCGGCCGGACGGTGGCGAGACGTGAGGGTCGGCGGCGCCCCCACCGCCCGGATCCGCCCCGCCGATCGGCCTCGGTTCCTTTGTCTTTCCCGCCCTGTTTTTTTTTTCTCGGCTCAACTATTCTCTTTGGACACCTGAACTCTTACTCATCATGAGCAGAGGGTGAGAAATCTTACTCAAAATCCACAACGACAAACGATGCTTCCGTGCTGATTGCATTCCATGCCACAGAACGGCCACAAACTCCGTCAGCCAAGTACTGGCAGAAAAGAAGAGTACCGGTCTATCTGAGCCAAAGCCTTGCCTGCACCCTCAGAGCCAGCTGACTGATGCAAAGCTATGGGCAGCTCCCTGCTACAGGAACGGTCTGGTGAAATTCAGTAGACAAAGACCATTTGCAGCCCTGGATCACAGCAAGTGCCTGAGCCCCTGGACTACTG